TAAATATGAATATATATATGTGTATATATATATATATTGCATAAGTAAAATCTATTCTAGTAGAAAATTTATTATTTTATAATAATTATTTATAGCAATTTATCATAATTATTATACTTTTGAATAAAAAATAATATTTATATATTTTAAGGTTATCATAGTTATTCCTTCATAATTTAATTGTGCAAATATTATTACATACAATTATGTAATATAATGAAATTTGTAATTTTATGATATTTTATAATTATTATTATTAACTCTATTATTTAAAATATTAATTTATAATTGGAAACATTTTTTATATCTTTTATGAGTGAAAAATTAAATTGATATAATTCTTATTTGTAAAAATTCTTTTAATTATACTTATTATTTTAATTATTTATTTACTGAAATAGTTTTTTTATATTTATATTAGTATCTTTATTTTCAGACTTCTCCAAAGAAATTATGTACTTTACCAATTATTTCTCAAGGCAATAGTAGTAAAAATGTGGTAAATAATTGATTTGTTTTTATATGATAATATTAATTTATTATAATATTTTATAAATATATTTGTTAATTATATATTTCAGGTAAATGCAAAAGCTATACAAAACATGTATTTGAAAGAAAGTAAATTTAATCCAGAATTAGAACCATTATTGAAAGAAAATCCACGTAGATTTGTTGTTTTTCCTATTCAATGGCCTGATATTTGGCAAATGTATAAAAAAGCTGAAGCATCTTTTTGGACAGTGGAAGAAGTGGATCTTTCTAAAGTATAATTTTTTTTAATTAGTTATATATAAAAAAAAATATATAAGTTATTAATAATTATATAATTTTTATAGGATGTATTTGATTGGAATAATTTAACTGCCAGTGAAAAACATTTTATATCTCATGTCTTAGCATTTTTTGCAGCTTCTGATGGAATCGTCAATGAGAATCTTGTTGAACGATTTAGTCAAGAAGTACAAATAACAGAGGCACGTTGTTTCTATGGTTTTCAAGTTGCCATGGAAAATGTTCATTCAGAAATGTATTCTTTGTTAATTGATACATACATTGCAGATGCAAAAGAAAGGTAAATAAATAAAATATTTTTTAAATAAATTATTAAATTTTTGTTTATTATATTTGATATTTTATTTTTATCTATAGAGACTTCTTATTTAACGCTATTGAAAATTTGCCATGTGTTGCAAAAAAAGCTCATTGGGCGTTAAATTGGATAAACCATGAAAGTGCTACTTTTCCTGAACGTGTGGTTGCTTTTGCTGCAGTAGAAGGTATTTTCTTTAGTGGTAGTTTCGCTGCTATTTTCTGGTTAAAAAAGAGAGGTCTTATGCCAGGACTTACATTTAGCAATGAACTTATTTCTAGAGATGAGGTTAGTGCATATAGTAAAAATATTTGATAAAGAAATTAATTTATATATTTATAAAATAAGAAATAGAAAATATATTAAATGTTTCAATTAAAATTATTTTTTTTTTAGGGATTACATTGTGATTTTGCATGTTTAATGTTCAAACACATTGTACAAAAACCATCTTCTGAACGAGTCACATCAATTATTAAGGATGCTGTCAAAATTGAACAAGAATTTTTGACAGATGCATTACCTGTTGAAATGATAGGCATGAACTGTAAACTTATGTGTCAATATATCGAATTTGTTGCAGATAGATTACTTGTAGAATTAGGTTGTAAAAAGGTTTGTAAAAATATTATAATTTTAATAATAATATTTATCAATTAATAATAATATATTTATAATTATTAACTCAAAATATTTTCAATTTCAGATATATATGTCTGAAAATCCGTTTGATTTCATGGAACATATTTCTTTAGAAGGTAAGACAAACTTCTTTGAAAAAAAAGTGGGAGAATATCAAAAATGGGGAGTAATGCAAGATAGAATTGAAAGCAATTTTACTGTTAATGCTGAATTTTAATTTATAAGACAAAAATAATAGTAAAATATTTTTTTTTTCTTGAAATGAAGAATTACATAATTTTAAATCTTTTGTTATTTATATACAAAATAAGATCATTTTATTTATATTTTTTCGAGACAATATTTTTTATTGTTTTGTTTCTCTCATTTATAGAATTGAAGTGTACAGATTATAAAGACAAAGATAATTGTAAAATTTATTTTTCTCAAATTTTTATATTTTGACAATATGTATGTAGAGATAAATAATTGGACCTATTTGTTTATTACACTTATTAAGTTATAATACTGTATATTTATTATGATATTATTTTGCGTGTTAATATTTGTTAGATAATATTATTAAAATGCGATTTTACTTTAAAATGTGTATTAATAAGAAATTAGTTAATTAAGAAATCAATGAATGAATGAAGTTTAAAAATGTGAAAATCGAAGTGAAAAACAAATATTTAATAATTAAAATAAATCAACAATATTTATATAAAACTTTTTTTATGTATATATTATATATATATATTATATATATAATTTAATAAAGAAAAATTAATAGGAATAAATATAATGGATATATCTTAACTCTTAATATAATTTATATATTTTATATATATTAAAAGTTACAAAATTTATATTTAACAATTATTATGTTACAAAATTTGTACATACATGTTATACAAATTTGATATTTCAGTTATATTTGAATAAAAAGAACTTTTACATTAACAATACATTGGAATGTTATATATATAAATTATATATTATTACATTAATTGTATAAAATTTACTGTTAGAATTTCAATTTGAATATAACTTGATATTCTATATTATTCTTTAAAAAAATATTAATTATTTGTATAAATTTTATAGTAAAAATTAAAGAACTTCTACTTCAAAACCATGGTTCAAACGATTTAAGTAATTTTTACGACATTCCATATCATCAGCTGGTCTGTTATAAGGCAACCAAACAGGCTCTCCGACAAAATAACGTTTTGCTTTTATATAATTCTATATAATGAAAAGAAGATGGATAAAATTTTAAAATAAATTTTTTTAAATATTTAAGAGTTCTTACGTTAATATCCAAAGTAAATCTGTGATATATTCCACTAGGAATAATTATTAAATCTCCAGCTTGAACTTCAATACGTATCCATTGATCATTTTTATCTCGGACATCAAAATATCCTGATCCATCTAAAATTAACCTTATTTCTTCATCAGTATGAAGATGCTCGGTAAAAAAATTTTTTAACTAAAAATTTAAAATAGCGTTTATTGTAATTTTATTTTTTATAAATCACAATTTAAATGCATTGAAAACATTAAAAATTTGAATTTAACTTACTTTCTCTTCGTAATTTGGAAGACATTTCTTGGAACATTCTATTTCATCTTCGTACGTATAACAACGTTTTTTCTTTAATTCTGTCAATATGTTATCATTTTTATAATTTTTATAATTAATCTATAATAATGTATTAATGTAATTAGATTAAATAAGAAATAAAATGATAATATAAAGTAGTTTACTTAACTAGTTTAATCAATAACATATGAAGGTTAAATTTTAAGATAATTTTTCTTTTATAATTTTTAATAGAGACATTTATTTAATATAAAATGAAAGATTTTTTATAAAAAATATATTTTTTATAAAACCAAAATTAAAGATATTAATAAATAAAATAATAAAATTTTAATTGTAATAAAGAAATCTTAATGAAATAAATAAATTTGATTTAACCTGAAAATATTCAACACCTGTTATCTTGAATAAATTCTCAATAGAAATATATTCAGGTGGTTGTTTATGATGTTCTAATCGTTGATCAACATCACTATTATCCATGTACCACGCACGAACCATTTTTATTTTATGAACAAATTCGTATAGATTGATTATAGCTTTTATATCTGCTAGTGACGTAACCTTAATATGTAACTATCTACCTTACTATATATATATATAAAGCCGGTACGTTGTTCTTTTACTGAATTACATACAAAGTTATTTGTTTGATTGATATTAAAATATTATTTTTAATTAAAAATTTTATGTCTTTATTTTATTTATTTTTTTAAATATGTAAAAGATAAATATTGCCAATATAAAAATTTAATATTGATATTTAATGTCTTACGTATTTTATTTTTATATTATTTAAATTATTTATGTATTTTAATTTTAATATTCTCAATTCGATTATTTGATATTATAAATATCTATATTTATTAATTTTTAAATTTATATTTATTAATAACTTTAACAATTAATATATTTAATGATCATTATATTATTTTCAGAGATCTTTATAAAAAGATCTACACATAAATTTTTATCTATAAAAGAAAGAATTTAAATTTAATTTTATTCAAAAAAATGGATAAATTGAATGAATTTTACAAAAAAATTCAAATGTATCTTATGAAAAAAAATCAAGAATGTGGAGAATTGAAATTACTTATTTCATGTATAACAAATGAAAATAATAATCACATTGATGACATATGTAAATCAATAACAAATATATTCAAAACCTATGATATACCTATAGGAGAAAAAACTACAATAAATAATGAAAAATGTGTACAGTCATATAAATATTTATTATTGAATACTAATTTTGAAAACCAAGAACGATTGGGAGAAGATATTGTTAGTGGACATTTAGTTGATATGTGTCCACCTTTGTCTCCATATTTATTTATACAAATATTATGGAATTTTGAATATGAGAATATTTTAATTGAATCTCTTTTATACATGCCATTTGATCTTTGTACAGAGATAGTGAAAGTAACTACAAAGTATATAGATAAATTACCTTTTCAAAGATCAATTAAAAGTATATATAAGTTGATATTTATCATATATACTAAGTTCTTTCAATTAAAGGAACTTAGTGTACAATCCAAGAATATTGAAGAAAGTATACAAAATTTATTATTAAGTTTCGAAGAATTCTTATTATTATTAACAAATTCAAAATTACCTTATTTGATAGAAGTATCAGATTTAAAAAAATGTGAACGACATGGTATCATGTTAAAAAAATTAATTTGTACAATAAAGAGATGTTTGGAATGCAAAACTAAAGGACTATCTACTTTTAATGATCTTGAAAAATTATATAACATTACATTTGGAAGAGAATCATATATACAATATGAAAATACATTGATAGAAAATACTATATCAACATTAAATCAACAATTGATGAATTTATTGTTAAATAAAATTAAAGAAATTGATTGTAATATTTATTTAAGCTGGGCAGAGTTGGATGATGAAGAAAACAAAATGATTTCTTTACAGCGTTCTATTGGTATTGAATGTTATTATTTCATAGAATTTTTAACAAATGATGAAGAATTATCAAAAAACATTCATTTAATAGAATGTTTACAACAATTATCATCTAAATCAGATCCTAAACAATCAACTTTTGTTTTAAGTTTATCAGAACTCTGTTGTGCTATATCCAATGGCAAAAAAGAACTCATGAAAGAATTATTATGTAGATATAAAGAATGGGATTCTACAATACTTGATTTTGTTTATAATAATAGATCTTCGTTAGAAAAGAAAGACTGTTTCATATTATTAGAATATCTTACTTTTATTCTTACTCAATCGACTGCAGAAGATTTAAAAGAATCAAGTTATATTTTAATTATGAAAATATTATCATGTCAAAATATACCAGATATTTATGAAATTGTAATGATGTATTTAACAAAGTATGATGGCAAAAATTACTTAGAATCTCCACATTTGGAAGAAGCATTTCATGAATTCATTATGAGAAATGCAAATTTACAAACTTCTACAAATTTAAAAACCGTTTTATTATTTCTTTTAAAAAATCCTAAAATGATATTGACAATACTTTTGAAAATTACTATTGGTTATTCTCATTATACAAATATTATGATTTCTCCTAATGATTTACTTTTATTATCACCGTTTATGCAAATAAGAGAAGGTAATAATCAAATATTAATAACAAGTGTCTTAAAAATTATTTGTATAGAAAATACAGAATGGAACACTAAAAAATTTGTGGATTTTGTGAATGTTATATTAGATAATTCTATAATTAAAGTATATGAATTGATAAATAATGTTTATATACCATATTTAAAGGAAGATACTTTTAATGTATCTAATATAAATTCTATTCTTAATAATATTCGTAAGCTACAAATTAAATGTACCAAAGAAACAAATATTAAAGATTTGATAATAGCTCTTGCAAAAAAAATGTCATTCCTCAGAAAAAATACAAGTATATCAAAATATATAAGTAGTGAAATATTTGTCCAAATAACAAGAATATTGCCATATTTTTTAGAAAATAAAATCTGTTCTGTTTCAATAAAAAAAGAAATTTTTGATGGAATTGAATCTATAATTGAACCAATTGACACATTACATTTTGCTCCCCTTTGGTATTTAATGCATAAAGGTGTAATTGATATAATAGAAGATTATGAAAGACGTTGTTTTGTTGTTTTAAATAGATTAAAAGAAGATCCAAAAACTTCGGAAAGTTTGCGACATTATTTGTCCGATTTGAGTTTATTGAGAGAAGACTTTTTGCGTCATTTGATTATTCGTTCAACCGAAGAAGAATATCAAAGATTAGGTTCAGAGCTTACTATAATATATTGGTTTGCTTTCGGATGGAATGATGAGATTGATGCATACAATCATTTTCTTCGTTTAACGATGGAAGCATGTTGCTTATCTTTGGAATATCCAGCCATCGGTGGAAACGATTTATTTGCATTTTTACTTAAGTCTTTTATACGTTTTTGTAGAACATTTGTATTGGTTGAAGGAATGGAAAATCAAGAGAAAGTATATCAATCATTAATTAAAAATATTAATCAACTTGATGGAAGTATAAAACATAGTCCTTATGCGGATTTATTCACTAATTGCCTTACACATTTAAATAATTATACAGAAAATGATCCTGTACATTTTTTGCAAGATGTTTTAAATACTTTTCATCATTTTAGCGATCAGTGTCTTGAATACAATAATGAATATAATGAAATAACATGTAAAATACCTCATTCACTAAAAGTTTCAAATTTTTATATAACACACGAAGTTATTTCTGCTTGTATGAGAGTGCCTGCAACAGAAGCTTATGAATGCATAAAAAAAATGAATGAATTATTTGTTTTGAATTAAATTATCTTTAATTACGAAAAGCATCTAAAATATTGTAAATGAGAAATAAAACAAATGTTGTAAATGAAAAAGCAGATCAAAAGAGTTAATTTTTTTGTTAAAGTTTATTCACCAATATTTTAAATTTATATATTTTTCTTAAAATATATTTTATTTTATTTAAAGAATTTGTTTAATCATTGTAAAGATAAAAAATAATTTTAAAAAGTTTCTTTTATTATCGTCTTATAATTTTAAAATTTAAAATAAAAATTCTGTCTATTCTCTTCTTATTAACTAATCTCTTATTTTTAATATAAATATTTTTAAATATTTATATTGAAAAAAAATTATATCAATTATAAAATTAATTAAAATTAATATATTTAATAAATTATTTGTACTTATTAATAATTTGTTATATAAATTGTTTTATTATAAAATTTATAATAAATCATAAAATATCTAAAAAATATTTTTATGATTAATAATGAAAAAAAATTTAGATAAATATTAAAATCTTATCATTTAGGCAAATATAAATTACTATATCAAATATTATTATAATTAATAAATTAACAATTAGTAATATATTTTAATCATTCTATTATGATATTACTTGTGAAACAATTTTTAAAAAATTAAAAATAATAGAAATTTTTTACATATATTATCAATAAAAAATTATATATTATTTTAATTTTATATTTAAAATTAAAATTTTTTTTAATTTTTACATTGTATAGGAATATCTAAAAATCAATACAAATTATTATTTGTTTTTATTCTATATTATATTTGTGCGATATTTCCAAAATGCCAGTACAATGGTTAGTAATAAAAAAATGTGAAAAAATTGCATACAAAGAAAAAATGTGCACCAGTATTGAGACAGGCAAAAATCAAGTGGGTAGTTTCCTCTGGATAGTCTCAATGCTTTCATGGAAAAAATTGGTCTGCAATCTTAAATAAAATTACTGTACCAGCCTATTGTCTTTAAAATTAATTTTTTTTTAATCAACAATTATAAAATATTTTAATTCATGCTAAATTAAGTCATATTAGAAAATTAATATTTGAAATAATTTCATTTAAAAATTGATTGAAGTAGACAATAGGATATTACAGATCTTTATATATCTCTTACAATAAAATTGTTACTTTTTTTTCAATATTAATCATGCATCTTTTTCCATGTCATTGAGTTACAAGATTTCTATAGTGACTAGATTTTTATGCTGGTAATATAAACGGAATACATGAAACGTTTAAATTAAAAAAATATTTGACAATAACCAAAATCAAGAATGAGAATATTGTAACAAGAAATATTTGTTTTTACTTGTAAAAAATAAAAATAGGAAAATCACGCGAAAATCACGTACTTTTATATTTTACTTTTTCTTTTTTTCTACTGGTAAAAAATAACGCATGTTCATATTTCGTTTATTTCTCTTTTCTCAATGCGAATAAACGAAAAGAAAAGAAAATCGAAATACCAGCAAACAATTTTTGCAGATGGTGTTCGTTTACGAGTGTCTCGAGTATCCGTTTCTCGTCTACCCAAGTGATATTATTGCTTAATCTGATCAAAGAACAACGAACCAAAGGAAAACCGCTAAAACAACAAAGAAACATAATTATATTTCACAAATGTCGTTTGTCAATGAAATGCACATTTTTTACTGTAAGCCATTCTCATTGTTGTCTTTTCGAATGTCAGATCAGTATTCCTTCATCTCTTTTTTCTTTCATTAATATTAATATTAA